AAATATTCTAAAAGAAACATAACAATATTGTTTTATGTACTTTCACTTTTCACGTATAGTATAACTACTCTTTAAGATTAAGTACTGTGTATCTCAAAAACCAGAGCTAATAAAAATTTTTCATTGTTATTTTCGTTTTTATCACCCCAAAATTAGTAGAAATTGACTAATTTAGTGTAGGAAACATTCAAAAAATATTTTTTTGTTGTGTTGTGTTATATTTATGTATTGTTGATGTTTAGATATTTTTGAAGTTTTTTATCATTTTTGCTCCAGGCCTCAAATTCTCATAAAGGACCTTACGAGTTTGAAAAAGTAGAACATGTTCAAGAGCTCAAAGATGATCAACACGAAGGACCAATTTGGTGTATGAAGTTTTCTGGTTGTGGTAGACTCCTAGCAACTGCTGGCCAAGACAAGATTCTAAGAATTTGGATTGTTGAAAGTGCCTACCAATTTTTTCAGGTAAATATTGTTTATCATATTAGATAAAGAAATGATGTTGATAATAATTGCCTTTAATTATTGACAGTACAAATTGAGTACGATTTAGGAAAAAGCTGAGTGCTTTACACTCAACATCAATAATGAAACAAAGCATAAAACTTACAGCTAATACAAACACCCATTTCAATAATAGAACATTTTTATTATTTGGCCTCATGGACAAGAAGAACTAAACCGTTTCGTGACATACTTGAACTCAATCCACGAGAAAATCCAGTTTACCTTAGAAACGTAAAGAACAAACAAGTTACTTTTCTTTTGAACAAACAACTTCGGCCCTATACAAACACCACCTTGATACAGGTCACAACACGACTTCAAAAGCTGCAAACACATCGCAAGTATACATCACCATAAAACCAGGATCATAGGGAAAGCAATCGAAATTGAGAAGAACGGCAATCTCAACGAAAGAGATAATGCACACTACCTCTCAGCTGCATGGACAACCATCATATCCAAAGCCACACACACGCGTACACACACACAAGCACACATACACGCGCGCGTACACACACACGTAGACTGAATCCCCGAAAAATCACTATTCTATCATTCTCCTATTCCGATCATTCACAACTTGATTTTAATTTAAAAACCACCGGTACAAAGCTGTTTCAACCTGTTGGACACCATCAGTACGGGCATATGGTCCTCGATTGAAGACAAAATTTGAAAAAACAACAAGAGTACTTGATAAAAATTACCGCGTAATCGCACGTGGGACATAAATAGAATCTTCAATTGGTGTGACACCCAACTTAGCTTGCCAAGTTGTTATGTTGGTGGTTTGACCAATCTTTAAAACTGACAGCCGCGTTAGAAGAAATTTGGGAGACTGTCTTAGAATGCCAACGGAAAACGAATGTTTCTAGAAATTAAGTGAAAATAATTCCATGGGAATCAAAAGATAAATAGATGAGTAATATTCCGATCACTGACAATTTGATTTCAATTTGATGACAACTGGTAGACAGCTATTTCAACTTGTCAAAGCGTGCCAGTAGTAGGTACTATATCCTAAAAAAATGCAAAAAATAATTAAAATATTTCATAAATCAACACTCAATTTCATCTTCATCAGTAACACTTATATTAAATTGTATTCATTTCTTGAACAAAAATTTTCAAAATATAACATGAACAACCAGAACCCTGTTATACATTAATAATAAGTTTTCTGATTCACAACATACCCTTAGTCAGTATAAGGTCATTCGTACCTAAATTTTTTGCACATTACCATTGATCTCATTTCCTTGTAAGAATACTTCAAAAAGCAATACATGTTCTACTTTATGCTGAAACAAAATATGAATGTTAGAAAGCACACATGAGTTGCCTTAATTTTTTGTGTGTTATTTACAAGTGTTAATTATTCAGCAAAATAAAAGTAACAAATATATCAATATACAAACTTTAAATAATAGATATTTTTTGCAAAAAGTGTAGGGCTAGTTGGGAAAATATTTATAACAATTTTTATATAATATAACAGGTTAATTTGTTCTTCTGGACAACCTTGAAAAAATTATACACCTTCACAAGTCAGAATTCGAAGATAACTGTTAAAAAAATATCATTAATATCATATCTCTTTCAAGTTCTTTCGGTTCTGTACTTTATTAATAGTTTCTCAACACAACCTAACGTTCACGATGCCGATATAAGTAACAAATTAATTTTAAATTACCACATGTTTATTTTACAAAACGAAGGACACTATCTTCCATTAAAAAAAAATTACCAAATTTGTCGTTATCTTATGAATGGAATATTCTCCTCGGACAGTCCACTATATGGATAGTTTGTTAATAATTGAACTTAGTAAAACAGTTTCACATAATTATTTGTAATTATATCAACAACTGTGAACTTCATGAAATAAATAGGAGAATGATTTAATTCCACTTTCTTCAAGGCCAAAACAGATGACTTTGAAAGGTGGTAACTAGTAAAGATATTTGAATGATTCTTCATTGTGACATGCAATCATTTTTTTTTATTATTTCAGGAAATGAGAACAAATCACATGCATACTTCATAAATACAATAATTCAGAGTAAATTATTTGTCAATAAAAATTTTTTATATGTAAACTGAAATATATGCACGAAAAAACACATGGAATTACTCTGAAAAGATTAAAATAGGTCTTGAAAAATCTAAAAAGAATAAAAACATTCTCGTAAAATAAAAATACACATCAAAATATAGAGCACAATGCAAATTGCTATTCAAGGTTGGAATGAAGAGCTGAAATTTGACATATAGAAGCAATCATTCATTTTTCAATGTCGTTTTACTACTTTCAGCCCTTACATTTGTTTTGGCTTTATAATCCAGTCATATTAGTCAAAATAGGTCAATAATCTCGGAATTGGAGAGAATCAGGTTTAAACTTGTATAAACTTTTATTTTGAAACCCTGAAACTTGTCTCAAAACATACTTATCGTAGGGTGGCCGCGTCTACCGATATTTAAGATCAAAGGTCAAAAAAATCGATATTTTGCACATAAATATTGTAGAGGATTAAATTCTCTATAACATTTGTTTGATTTTTTTTTATTCATTATCTTCTGCTCGCTGTAAAATTTCAAATTCCTCTTTGTTTCCGTTCAAGAGAGTATTTAACAATAGTTGTGTATGAAAAAGTAAATTGAAGCTGATTATGCCAAATCTTCATTATAATATATTTGTCCAACTAAACTACTTATCTAAGATATTATTAGAATCGAACTAATTGTAGTTTTAATTTATACAGGTGGCTGTTTGGAATGAAGTAGAAGGAAATCCAAAACTGATCACGGCTGCTAATTTTTGCCAAAATGGAAAATTTGCTGTGGTGGGAACCTATGATGGGCGCTGTATATTTTACATTACGGATCAACTGAAATATCATACCCAAATTCACGTACGCTCTTCTCGAGGTAGAAATGCAGTGGGACGCAAAATAAGTGGAATAGAACCAATGCCAGGGGAAGATAAAATATTAGTTACTTCAAATGATAGTCGAATAAGACTATATGATCTTCGAGATTTGAATGTATCATGTAAATATAAAGGTTATGTTAATATGAGTAGTCAGATAAAAGCAAGTTTTAGTCATGATGGTAAATATATAGTAAGTGGGTCAGAAAACAGAGATATTTATATCTGGAGAACTAGTCACGATTATTCAAAGTTTTCTTCAGTTAGGAGAGATAGAAATGACTTTTGGGAAGCAATCAAGGCACATAATGCAACTGTTACTTGTGCGATATTCGCACCCAATCCGGAGGCCATCATTAAAGCACTAGAGGACAAATCAAAAGATAATATAGAATTCGAAGAAAAGGTATGTTTGCAGTTTTATCTCATTTTCATAATTTTAGAAACTTGAAACTATAAATTAAAAAAGAAATCACGTATGGTTACGTGAGTTTTCAACAAGTGGAATTCTTGAACAAACTCTACTATATTCTTCAACTCAAAATATGTCTGAACACTAGTACTGCAAAAACTGGTTGGTTGGCAAAAAAGTTTTCACAGCACTGGCTGTTGAATGAACGACTAAATCATTTCAGCCCTTCAAATCTTCTGAAGAGGATATTATATATCCAGCTCAGCTTCAAAACTGACTGAAAATACTTTTACACATTCTCATAAAATCGCACAGAGATAGTCAGGAATGGATTTTATATGCATCATTCAACCAGCATGCTTACCAAACTGGCAAATCGATAGATTCAGCATTACATAACCTTATAGAGATAATCCTCTCAACAATAAAGATATTGTAAGGGCAGTGGTTTTCCCCTTACGAAGATGCCGACTATGACATTAACAGAGAACTCAATTCTCGAACATCAAAGATAAACGAGGCTCCCCAAGACAGTCAGTTGCGACATTGATCGCTGACCGGTTTCATCTTCTAAAGAGATTGTGGTGGCCTTTTTCTTGATATCAAAGGAGCCTTTAACAATGCACTTTTTGAATTTATATGATTAGTATTGGCTAAAAAATGCACAGAATCTATCATAACTGATTGAATCCTCGTCATGCTCTTAAACAAAACATCAACCACGACTCTTCAAGATGACATCACTAGGTTCAAGGTCACCAGGGGCTGCCCGTAGGGTGGGGTACTATCCCCCATTCAGTTGTCACTCTTGATCGATAGTCTGCGTGATGTCCTTGACAAAAGAGAAGTAGATCTGCAATCTTCTTGCAGATGGTGTTAGGGCAATTGATCTTGAAAAAAGTTATTCAATAAGTAGGTAGTATTTCAAACTCATTGCAAATTTCTCAGATCTGAATTTAGTATATCTGACAAGAACTGTTTCATGAAATGAATAAACTTAGGGGCCAATTTATTGTAAAGGATGGTTACGAGTTTCACTGACATTTTTTGGCTAAAAAACTTTAGAACAAACTTTGTGTTCTCAATCAGAAAATATAATTTCTTGTTGCCAATTTCAGTGATTAGTCTTTTATGTCAATGCTAGACCGCAAATCTCCAGAATTGTTTGCTGAATGAATCACATCATGAGTCGTAGCTTTGTTTCAGTGAAAGTTCCCGACATTTTTTTCATCAGATTGATTCATAAAAAATAATATATTGGGCTGTTTGGATTGGATCTATTCATAGTCCTCATGCCACACTTTCCAGGCATACAAAAGCATCCAAAAATCTAGTGTCGTGTACCTATCTCAACAATTTCCATTCATTCCATGGTCGTTCTCCAAGGCGTCTTGAGCCACATTAGATTTGTCTGGTTTTTGATATCGGATATTGCATGTTCTTTAAAACGAGTTTTGATGATTTGCTTTGTCTGACGGATATATTTTTTGTCACAGTCCCAACAGTTTATTTCTTTTCTTTTTGAAACATCTTGTCTTTAGGATTACCTTACGTACGTTGAAGTGAGGAAGAAGTTTTAGGGGTTACTTTCACGTTATATTTTTTGAAAATACGATCGAATCCGTTAGTGCAGGGTTTCTCAAAGTGGGGTACGCATACCACAGGGGGTATGCCATTAAGTCATAGGGGGTATACAATTAAGTTTACATTATGGCGGCGGCTAAGCTGCCTGGTAAAAATACGGGTTCATTGCGCGGAAAATGTCCCGAAAATCAATCTTTGTGAACCAGTTCACAAAATGTACAAACTATGTCGAGTCCTATTGGGTCTACTTCAGATGAAACAATTTCAAACAATTATTTTGCGAAAACGAGCGAGTCACACAAACACATTTCATCAGCAAAACAAAAAAATATGATGAAAAATATTTGAAAATTGAATTTATGTGCAAAGGAGAATCTCAATTCCCAGAGCCACAGTGCGTGATATGTTCAGAAGTACTCGCAAATTGCGCGATGAAATCGTGTGAAATCAAAGGTGAGAGTGGACCTTTTTATTTCCAGAAGGAGAACAAAAAGTCCTCACTTTTTGCCAGTTTTGTTATTAGTCCCATGTAATAGGGGGAGAGCTTATTGCCATACACTGGGAACAGTTCCAGACTCCTACTACTCCTACTACTAAGAATTTTGTAAAAACCGAAAAATACCCAATACTTTGCCAGACCCGAAAATCGAACTCAAGACCAGGAGGCAAAAAAATACCTCAGTTGTTCTATCTTATGCCAAACATGTGTATCAATTGCTTTTTTGTATTATTTTTTAATAAAATGCCTATCAATAACCAGTTTTGTTCAAGGGGTTCGCTGTGGTCTGGAAAGTCTAATAGGGGTACGCAGAACAATAAGTTTGAGAAACCCTGTGTTAGTATATCGGTTTATTCTTAAACTAAAATAATTACGGCACAAGAAATTCAACATTGTTAGAAATACCAAATCATAGACTGGCTAGATCAAAATCAAGTCCAATTTTCATGGGTATCAGGCTATTTAACAAATTGCCGAATCATGTTGGAAAAATGTCACTAAGAAAATTTAAACCGTTAGGTAAGATTCTTTGAGACTCATATTGTTATGGTTCTTATTTTTTCTAGATTGAAGATCCATTAGTCCAACAACATAGCAAAGGATTTGGTGGATATGTCTTAATATCAGCTGACTTCAGTGGATGTATCAAAGTATTCATTAACAAAACGAAGCCCAAACATAGCTCTTTGCCAGTATCAGCGATGTCATAATTGGTTGAAATGAGTCGACAGATTTACTCACGCACCATTTCCTCAAATAACTAATTCAATGAGTATGAATAATTTAAGTGTAAATTTTTTTAACGATATATTATTTGGAATTAAATTTGTAGGGTGAGTGAATGTTTGCACTCAAATACTGAAATAAACTAAAATCATGTGAAAATACAAATAATATGACAAAATGTGCCATGATTTTTTCTGAGTGGGTTCAGATATTTCTCAGTAGTTCTAAATCACAAAAAATGACAATGAATAGATCATCAACCATACACTTTATTCAATAAAACTGAAAAAGGGCAAGTACCCAACGTTAGAGAACTCTAAGTAAACATTTACTTGAAGATGTTCACATTACTTGGTCCCCACGTAGCTCGCAATATTATCTCTTCCATGAGGGTTTGTCGATCGTAGAGCAAAGATGAGAAATGGTCTCAATCACAAGTTCATTCAACCATAACTGTGGTCAGTGTATTCTGTATATGAGCTTTTTTATATCTATTATGCAACAGTTGTGAAAGTCTTACTCTTAAACTCATCGATATGAGTTTTATTAATATTTGCAGTAGGTTCATATAGTATGCCACATCCCATGGATATCTACTTTTGAACGTATCAGCTCCAAATGTTCAAGGATACAGAATGCCCTTCCACTGAATGTACAAACAAAAATATTATCGAATTGAGACACTGTCAAGAACACTGATGCAAGTTAAATAGAACAACAACTCATATGACAGATCCGTTCCCATCCGAAAAGATGGAAAAAAAAACGAAAAATCATTATTATTCCTGGTAAGAAAAGCATCATTGATAAGTTTATCAGAAATTTCAATGAAAAATCTTTTGTAGTTGAAATCTGAATTATAATGAGAGAGAGGATAAAATCGTAAGTTTAATAATTACACCCACAGTAGATCTAAAGGATATTATCTGTGAGTCCAGTGTACATACATTGTGGATGTTCATTATATATCTAAAGTAGTGTTCCCGGGATAACATGTGAATGTCTAGAAGCTGTACATTTTTGTATAATTTAGCCATTCTATGGATGTCTTACATGTTATATATCCATTACATACATAATGGACATTTTTCTACTATACTCTTTCCATACAAGTAACAGAGTGCTCCAAAACATTATCATGCATAGCGCACGTGATCTCCCAAGCAAGGCTGGTTGTACAGAGTCGCACTAAGGAACAATATATTTTTTTTTCTTAATATGCGGCTGGGTATAGGAAAATTTTTTAGGTGGAGTGTAGGGACACAAATTAGCAGTTTCTTCGGCCGTATCAGTACTTGGCATATTTAAAATTTTAAACTTTATAATACGGTACCCAGAGCTTGATTAGAATAAAGAATCCAGATTCTTTAGCAGCCGCTATGACTTACATTATAGAAGAAGAAAATTTTCAATATACCTACCCAAAATGGTATATGTACACACCACAGGTGTTAAAACGTAACTCACCACTCCGACCCTGTAGCCATATACCTGAATGAATTCCGCCAGCCGATTGCAGTTAAATCCTATTGGTATACGGTATATGTACACACCACAGGTGTTAAAATGTAACTCACCACTCCGACCCTGTAGCCATATATCTGAATGAATTCGGCCAGCCGATTGCAGTTAAATCCTATTGGCCAGCGTTAGGAGGCTTGTTTGTTGTACCCAATACATTCAAATGTGCATGGATCGCTCATCTATCATTGTTTGGGTTACTTTGTTTGTTGGATGGATAGAGTTGAGTTAGGTAGTTTGATATGGTCATTCGAATATAATTATGCTGATGCTCATCAATGTCTTAATTAACTTTATATTCGAAAAAGAAGATTCACACAAAGGATTGTTATGTTGCCACTTCAAGGCAACACGACATAATTGAACATTTGTCTTTACCTACTGAAGATTTCCAATCTGAATCAATTTGAGAAACAATATCACTTTCATCTCTTCACCAAAGGTCAGCATGAACAAGTTGCAAACTATCAATTTGAAGTTATAATCCATTTCTATATAATTTTTACTGTGTTGAGGATTCAAAACTCAAGTTTTTTAATAAATGATTTCAAACTAGTAATTTCACACCCTGATATACAAACTAATAAGTCTGATATAGCCCTTCTCAACCAATAAAGTAAGACGAAATTTGCTGTCCGAGTTTTCAGGTTCGGGTAAAACCTACTTCCGTTAACAGTATCATAAGAGAGGTTCCTTGTAGATGTGTGAATATTTGGCGCTAGCCTCATAAAAGAAGGGGGAGTTTGTAATGTGTCCAATGCTAAAATAAAGATATTATTGGTCCGCCAGATAAATCCAGTTCTCTACTCAGATACCCACTCCACACCCAAATGAAACAATAGTATTGAAATAACCACCACTTCAATTAAAAAACACAAAGTTAAAGACTTGTCTTGAAATGACTACACAATCCAAGTTGAGTTTTTAAAAGAATAATTCTACATGCAATAAAATAATCTCTGTATTAAAGCTTAGTTATCAGTTTCCGGTTATACTAACTTCCAAAACAACAATGAATTGGTTCCTATAGATAGCTAAGCCCCAAATTCAATGGATTTACTGTATACCAATAAAATATGCCAGACTCCAGTACATAATATGACGGCAAATTAATAGCTTTAATGAACTTTCTGTAACTGTTCGAAATGAAGATTTTTGTAGTCCGTAGTTTAATGGTGGATATGTACGTTTTATTTTTTCAAGAATAACTGAAACACCTCGTGAACAGTTGATTTTTTATTTGATTTGGTAAAACTGAGTTTTGGCGCATTTTTATATCTTCAGAATTAGTCATCGATTCCGAAAACCTTGTATAACATTTTGGAAATGTTACTCCTACAAGACGATGAAATGAAGTATTTTGATGAGTAAATAATAGCTTATTTATGTATTCCCCTTGGAAAGTTTTCTTATACCAAGCTACCCAAACTTATCAAGTTGAAGAAAAGTGTTGTGAATGTGGTCGGATGCAAGAGGTAGGTGCTTTGCAGCCACCCGCATTCGGGTCTTGTTATGGTAGAAGCAAAGCACCTACAATCTCACACCCACAATTTGCAGTTGAAGGTGCAAAGCACCCACCAGTTGCATAACACTCACAGGTGCAACTCATGATGACACGTTCAGAATCTTTTGAAGAGTCAATTGTGTGTCGCTCGGCTCACATCGCTCCATCATCGAAACGGTATAATGGATGTCAACATCTTCATATCAACCTCCATTATTATGAGGATAAAAAAAACAATAAATTACATGAAAGAAAAGTACTGTTGAAACAAATACTTGTAAATGAATGCTGAATTATATGAAAAACAATTTTCTATATTTCGTTTGTATTCCAAACATTCGTAATGGAATCGATTCAGATATCATTCACAGGATTCCTACATAGTATACTTTATGAAAGAAGTAAAATTTCACTACATGGAACACTATCATCCTCACTGCTATACATCCGTAGGACACTTGCCTTATTGGCTCTTCAGTAGAAAATACCGATAACATCATAGGAAAAAACACTCAATTCGTTCATGATTACGACTATTATTGTTTGTGTTATTTTGCAAGCTTCGGATTCTACAATCATGTAACAAAAAATAAATCAAAGAAACCTTCTCTCGGATAGCTTCAAGAAATATTAAGCCAATCCAGCAGAAAATTATCATAGAAAAAAATTCATAACTTCTCACACATAACATCATCAAAAATGAATATTGAATCAGGTTTGGTATCTGATGGTTCTATTATTTCAGCTCCATTTTTGGCGAAAGTGTAAAATCCCAACCCTTTGATTGGATCAAATACTTCATGTAGTGCTCATATTTGGGTTGATAGAGATACTTTGAATAAAGATAAATATTTGCAAATCATAATTCCAGAGGATGAATCGGCAGAGAAATCATTACATACTTCTTTCCACAGTTCGAAAGTCCAATAATTGGGCCTCATACTGATAGTGAGAGTAACGATCCGTGACGCTGTTTAACACCACTTCTTCCCCTCACTTTTTCATCGAAATTTTCGAAGGAAAATTGTTGCTTCTGCTTAAGAATGCGCATTGTATGACTGTTGAAGACTATATAAGTGTATTTCACCATTGGTCCTTCATTTAAATGGGAATTATGAGCCGATGCAGAAGTACTGAACTGCTGTCAAATAATCTGTCATTAATAATCTCCCATTCGAATTACACTTACCTAGTTATCAGTATTGCGGCCCTGGCACGAAATTACTGAAAAGGTCAGCCAAGAGGTGATCCAGGTTTCAATAAATTTCAATCAACTCGAATTCGCTTGCAAAAGGCACGATATTGCACATTCACAGACTTCAAACGACCTTGCCGCCAGACATCGAGCAGATCAAGAGCTGTAAAAACTGCTTGGAGTCGATTCAAAGCAAAAGACGCTTCTATCGGTGAGAAAGGGGCTGCTTGGCTGATAACAAATATAATGAGGGGAAAGCGTGATTTGGTATGGGGCGTGAGTCATCACCCAAACCACGTATACAGACGTGCTATACAGGCATGCTATTAAATAAGAAAAGACTAAAAAATATTGAAAGCCTCAAAAGTATTAGATTTTGGTTCTGGAACCGTTAAAGAAGTGTGAATTCCAAAAAACATTGAAGGCAGCAGGTGAGAAAAAGAAAATTCGCACACCACGAATTATACCTATTCAAAAAATTGGTAGAATTCTACCACTTATTCCAAATTTTGTCGGTTTATCAGCGCTAGGTAGTTTAGCTGGTGCCGCAGCCGGCATAACAAGAGCAGTTCAAGCACCGAGAGCAAACAGGGAGCAAATGATCGAGATAAACCGTTATAGTAAATACAGGGCAATCGTTCTGATAAATAAGGACGTGGAATCTACTCGTAGCCTTATTGTGAAGGATAAGAGATGTATCTAAATACTCAACATTCAAAAAAATCATAGATTTGCTAACTCAAACTCACTATCATGCTTAGAAAATTATGATTCCTCATTTTGGTATATCTGATTTCAGAGGTCATTCAACACGCCTTGAAAAACGGCCATAGAATGAATAAAAGGTTTCATTTTCCATGAATAATGTCTCATTTCCACCAGATGTTTTGCACAGCAGTGATAAATGAAATTTTTGTTGATTTCTTTCATTTCATAAGAAACATTATTTTACATCAAATGTATTTTCAGGGGATGTCTTCATAAGTTGACAAACTTACAAGTAAACTTACATATATTTACAAATTATTACAGAAATATAATGATATTACCTATTTCAGTTTAGAAGATGATTTGTTATAAAACCACAACCAATGAACCATAATATATATTACTTGTATGATACAAAAGCAATTTCCTAATATTATATGAATTGTCAAATATTTTGAACATCTCCTTTACAATGGGGACAACAAGAACCCATTTGTTGGTGAAATGATTGATTTCCTCCCAAAGACGAAGCAGCGCCCATAACAGCATTACACAGGAGATCTTGTTTAGTTGAGATAGAGACAGGATTTTGAATAAGCTGAAAGTAAATACAAAAGTTAGTGATAATGATGTTACCATTGACAATTCAGAATGGGGCGGTAGATTATTATGAAGATCATTTATTTCAAGTCAAATTATACAACCCTCTTTCATGACGTTATTATTAGCCAACACATTTTTATTTAATAGCAATTAAATGGGTAATTAATACCTGCACTGTCCATTATTATACTCTCATTTCCCACAGAATGTTAATTATATAATATTATATAATTTGCCAATACTTCTTGTAATGTATTTGTTATTGGCAATAAACATCTAGCTTATTGAAGATACATATTTTCTTTGAAATATTCAATTCCTATACAGAATAACGCCGACTACCAAATTTCTTGATTTCCCTCATTCTGCTTTGCATAGTTATATAACATTCATGAAAGTTTTTTTTCTTTATTACATGTTCAATTTTTAAAGATTACCAAAATACTAGAAGACACAATCGTCTTCGGGTGATGACTGGACTGATTCCTCCGAGAGCTGACTATTTATAGGTCATTTGAGTACTTTCACCTATCTCTGCTTTCCTTTTTCCGCTTCACTGATTTAGTGGGAGTTGACTGTTTGGCGGGATTTGGCCATTTTTCGCTTGATTATAGGTTTCCATATGTTGTGTATCTCTACGCTAGCTTGGCTAAATACATTGTTGGACAGCATGTATGCGGCTTCTTTGAATTCTCTTTTAAACCAATGTTCCTCTTTGTGTATGATCTCAGCTTGGGAACACTCAATGTTATGTTGATGGGTCCAAACATGATCTGCTATTCCTGATTTGTTGGTTTCCCCTCGCTGTGTGTGTTTCTTGTGCTCGGCAATGCGAACATTCAATGGCCTCTTAGTTTTACCGACATAGGATTTTCCGCACTCACAGGGTATACGGTAAATGCAATTCTTGGAATCGCAGTTTGCGTTTGGTGGCCTGGTCTTCGTGAGGCTGCTACGGATAGTGTTTCCAGTGAAACTAAGAGACCATTGAATGTTCGCATTGCCAAGCACAAGAAACACACACAGCAAGGGGAAACCAGCAAATCAGGAATAGCAGAGCATGTTTGGACCCATCAACATAACATCGAGTGGTCCCAAGCTGAGATCATACACAGGAACATTGGTTTAATAGAAAATTCAAAGAAGCTGCATACATGTTGTCCAACAATGTATTTAGCCAAGCTAGCGTAGAGATACACAACATATGGAAACCTATAATCAAGCGAAAAATGGCCAACTCCCGCCAAACGGTCACCTCCCGCCAAACGGTGATCTCCCACTAAATCAGTGAAGCGGAAAAAGGAAAGCAGAGATAGGTGAAAATACTCAAATGACCTATAAATAGTCAGCTCTCGGAGGAATCAGTCCAGTCATCACCCGAAGACGATTGTGGATACTAACAATCGAAACGTCGTGAAGTAATTGAATCGCTGGAGATTAAATCCATTTGGAAAAACGTTCTCAGGAAGTTTATTCCACATAAACGCAGTTCTCCAAATGAAAGAGTTCTTAAACAGTGAAGTTCGAGGTGCACGGAGTCGAACCTCAAAACGATGAGCAGCCACAGTCCGTCGCGTATTTCTGATATGTACCGCTCTTGGTGGAATCAAATAAGCAAGTCACTTGAAAACTTTCTATGACAGTATGTACAGAGGTACAAATGTTCAATCTTTCTTCGATGTTCCAGACTATCAAGTTTGCAAGTGATGTTCACATCTCCAATTAGGCAGATGGCTCTTTTCTGGATGGAATTCAGCAGCTACAGGGTATGCTTAGGGGCGGAGCTCCATACATAAAAATAATACTCCAAAGAAGGTCCGATCTGTTTCGAGAGGGCTTTTTTCCAGTTTGTGTCTGAAAGTTACTTCTTTGCAATATGGTAAACGAAAGATATAAAGATGGAACACTGTCATTCTCACCGATGTTGCAGAATAAGACTTTTTGCCTTATTGCTTCTTCAGCACCAATCTGGATAACATTACAAGGTGAAGCACTCAATTCATTCATAACATTGCGACTTTAGTTTTAGTTTAGGATTAGTTAAATCTACTCATGTCACGACAAATATTGTGTAGCGCTCCTGTGAGTGATATCTGATTCAATTCAATAACGAATGTTTGGTGCACAAACTCAATAGGAAAAAGTGATTTTTCTATAATTCAATATTCATACAAAAGTAGTTATTGAGATAACTTCTATGCATGATTTACACATCTTTCTAAAGAGTTCATTTTCAAATCAAATGCTGTCTTCCTTCCTTAGGAAGTTTCCCACACATTTTGTATAGAGATGGAGAAGTAGAAAGCCAAAACCTTTCTCTCCCAAAAACTAATCTTTCCTAAAAATATATCCCTTTCAATTTAAACTTATGAACATGTTTCAACGACTCTATATTTGTTGAATCTGATTTTACCAATCAACAAATACTCCCTGTATTCATCAAAGCACATCGAATTTTCCAAATTTTGACATCTTTTAATTACAGATTTTTGCGTATCTAAGTGAGTCCATTTTACTCTCTGAGAGCTTCCCATTCACATAATCGACATCAAAACGTTCATAGTTGTGAAGGTAAAAAGATTGTCTTTTTTACTTCATTACATACATTTTGCTGAGCAGTCAATTGAATCCCGAAGTGTGTTCTATTTTGTATGGTATTTATTTGATAGCAATAAAAAAAAAGAAGTGGTATTTGTCCTATTGTTATTGGTACCATTTTTCGTCATCTTTTAGAATAGCTGTCATCTATTGAAAACACTTTTCCCAAACCAAAACAAAAATTGTCTCTCAACTTGTATTTCGCTAACCAAGTTTGCAATAGATGACCTATTTGGAATGGGATATTTGTCTTTGTTCATAGATCTTATTACATATTTTTCGATTTATTCACTTTCAAAAGGCATCTACAACATGTTGTCATGTAGAAATCTCAACAATTTCAAGCTTTCCACAGCTTTTCTGTGTCCATTCTCGAACGCATGTTGAGCGACATTAGACTTCTCTGGTCTGTGCAAGCAAATATGTGAAACATGTTCCTTGAAGCGAGCTATTATAGTCCGTTTTACTTTGACCAACATACTTTTTATCGCAATACTTACAGCTCCTTTCGTGTATCCCAGATTTTTTTTATCGGTGCTCGCCCAACACTTGCGAGCACCTTTGAAAGTCACTTTCATATTTTTCAACAATTTTCCAAACCACACATTTGTATTGCTTACCTACCTAAAGAAGGTAGTTACAGGCTGAGGGCTATCAGATTCTTCCTAGATTGGGAAAAATGTGCCATGGTCTGTCAACCTTGGAGCAGATTATTCTTCACAGGGAAATATCAGACCCTAGAGGCCTGCCCCGCTGCGTTTCCGATCAGGACTTCAGAGTCTGACAATAAAGATCAGTTACCAAATGAAATAATTGGCTTAATACTGATTACACTGACCAGTTTGAAATTTAATAACATTATCCATGATAATGTATATAGAATTTACACAATAAATTCCATGTTAAAACAAACACAATTTCAACATGAACCATGACATATTACATACAGAAAATGAAAGACAAAAATTAAACCTGTTGGAATCTTTGGAAATCAATAAACGTAAATATTCAAATGTTCTTTGTAACGATCAATAAGAAATGTACCTGTCCCATGTTAGGAATCACACTTTAAAAGGTAAGGCCTTGTTAGTCCTTAGCTCGCACATGTTTCGACTTCTGAGGGTTTTCGTTCGTAGGGGTGCGATAGATGGTTAACGAAAAAACATATTTTAAGCATAAACATATTTTAAACTAATAAAGCTACCGTGTAGCGAAACACTTCTTAAATAAAATTTATTGTGAATATTCTATAATTATCATGGATGAAGTAATTGGTTTCGTTAAGAAACTGAGTTAATTTGGTCTAGTTTGAATAAGTGTGAGCAGGTTGCAGTGGAGGATCGAATAGACCCATTCACTTGGTACCTTATCGGTACTGTAAAAGCAATTGTCTAGTAGGTAGTTTTTTAGGACTAATTTAAATTTTTTGAATTCCAATATTTTGATAGAGTGGTGGAGAATGTTTTATAGATGTTCAGGATTTTCAGATAATACTTTATTTTTTCCACTGAAAATATTACTCAGAGAAATACTTTGAATGTGTGAAGTACATGAATTGAATTACAAACCCTGTAAGCTGCTTTTTCAGCAAATGTTTGTTGGTGTGTATCCATTGTCTCACCAAAAATTTCTTCCTCTTCTAATCCCATTTTTTCTCTTATGTATTTACTCAATTCTACATTTATATTCGTAACTTCCAAGATATTTCCATATTTTAATCCAGGCCGATTTTCATCATTTGCTAGACTTCCGGCGATACATTTCAATGAAGTAAATGTTTTTAACCCTTGAATGTGCATTTTTCTGCGTTCTCTTAGAAGTGTCTTTGTAACTTCCTGTAAATCATTGATTTTATTCGTTAGAGCTGATTTCCATTTTGCCAGTTCCTCGACCATCAAACTGAAAAT